AACTTACAAGGAAAGGTTAAAGGAACTTAACATGTATAGCTTGGAGGAAAGATGAGACAGGGGGATATGATAGAAACATTTAAATACATAAAGGGAATCAACACAGTAAAGGAGGAGACTATATTTAAAAGAAGAAAAACTACTACAACAAGAGGACATGGTCTTAAATTAGAGGGGCAAAGGTTTAAAAATAATATCTGGAAGTATTACTTTACTGAGAGGGTAGCGGATGCATGGAATAGCCTTCCAGCTGAAGTGGTAGAGGTTAACACAGTAAAGGAGTTTAAGCATGCGTGGGATAGGCATAAGGCTATCCTAACTATAAGATAAGGCTAGGGACTAATGAAAGTATTTAGAAAATTGGGCAGACTAGATGGGCCGAATGGTTCTTATCTGCCATCACATTCTATATTTTCTATGCGTAGGTAGTGGTGCAAAGTGGGCCCCTGCTACACACAGTTGAAACCTTGAGAGAATGCTATGCTTAGTCCCTTTCACAAAATTCTGAAGCTAAGGTGATACTATCTGCTGACTCAGCCCCACCACCCATCCTATATTATAATATTGCTTTTGCTTCATTTCCTCACTTTATGACCTCTCTATGCTGACTGACATGAGCAAATGACAAAGTTTATAGCAATGACTGACAGGAAGCCAAGATGGAGCCAACATTTAAAGTGGTAAAAGATTAGGTGCTCGCTATTATGGTGGTGAGGCAGCAGCAAATCCTACAAGAATTCCCTAACCTTGTGATAAACAGAGGGCTACAAAGCAGATCAAATGATAAACCGTGCCTTAAAAAGACATTACCCATTAAGTACAATAACACACAAAAAATATACATACATATACCAAAGAGAAGGGGGACCTTCTGGACTATATTGTCCAATATCTCAAAAACAATAAACAAATAACAGTGAAAAATGTATGATAAAATAACTACGTATGGCAATGATTGTACAATTACACCCACACTTTCTAGAGCTAGTAATAGCTCTGCTGTATTAGCAAAGATGGTACAATCCCTGTCTTGGGATGTATTCTGTGATGGTGGTATCTCCAGATTGAAAGGTAATATGTAAAGACAGAAAAGCATAAATATCCACTAGCACAATATGTATATATAATGACCATCACGTAAAAATGTATCCTGTTATATACATGTTATTTTTATTGAAAATAAAGGAATATCAGTATATAAGGATCTGAATATTGAGCATTCCTTGGGCGACGTCTTAAGGATCATAAGGGGGAACACCGAGAAACCAACGAAAGAAGGCTTTGGACAACCCCCTAATGGTCCAAAGGAGCATACTTTTAGAGTCATATGACAGTATGACTCTAGTCTTGTGAGTTCAACCATCTTACCCTTACCATTTATTATTATATTATTCAGACATGCTACGCTATTTGTATTCATTCTGTTTTACAGATTATTCAAGATATTATACAGCTCCACCTATTACTCTGTATGTAGTGGAGGAATGAAGCCACGGTATTCCTGGCTTCATAACCAATACAGCGGGTAGTGTAGGTTATGATGTTTGGAGTAACCCTTTACCCTTTAGTCTATGAGAGGTCTATAGAGTATTCTTTCTTTTTCAAACGTATAACTAATAATTAATAAAATAATTTTAAAAATCAACTTCCTGCACACAAATACAAATAAACTTTGCAAAGTTTTAATTTTACAAACCTTTTAGTTTGATCTATGTTCTCTTAACCTGGCAGGGGTTTATTTACTAAACACCAAATTGCAGTCAATAGAAAACATTACAGCAACATTTAGACCAAAATAGATGATGTAGAAAAAAATATTCAACACAGTTATAGTCCAAACTTGGGGTATTTAGCCTAAATTTCACAATTCTGTTTTCAGTTTCACAAATTCCTGTTTAGTGTGCTCACAGTTATTATTCCCCCCCTCGCCAGTTTTGTTGTATTCCTACCCAAGTAATGAGCCAGATAGTTGATTTTTTTTCCTTGCAAAAATAAATAGTTAAAATATACCTTATTTATATTGATAGAAAGGAAAATTGTAAAACAAATAGTGTTAATAGTATTCCTCTCACCACATCTCACACTATTATGGCACAGCATTCAGACTCATTTTGGTACAATTGAGGAGATGTATGTCATTGAATAATCTGCACCTTTTTGAATTTTCTTTTTGTGGCATAAATGATAAATTCTGAGAGATTAGCCCCCCCCCCCTTTCCCTATTTATTACTTCAGCTTCTATTTCATCTTTATTTCGTTTTGTGTTCCTGATGTGTAGCACGTTTACTTACACATACTTTTCGTTCATGCTGCAGTGAGGCAGTATACAATTAGAATATTCACATTGTATTCTTAGTTAATTGTTCACATTCACAGTGTCACAAAAAATAATAATAATAAAAAAATATATATATATATAATGTATGTGTGTGTGTGTGTATATATATATATATATATATTATATTATATTTATCCAATAGAAACTTTTCAGATCACCTTCCTACATCTCCCTCAAATGGTTCTATTAAATCTGGGACAAAGTTCTAAAAGCGGTGCAGTCACCATGGAAACAAGTAAAGTGTTTACATGTAAAACTTTATGTTTACAAATGAAAGAAAAGTTCTTGTTTACTAATTGCCCCATTTTATGAGCTTCCGAACATTTCTAGTCTATTCTAGCCATACAGGGGATTTAGCCATGCCTGTACCGTGTAAGGGACTAGGCAGATGTGTCTGTGCACCTGGAAAACGATTCTGAGAGAGATTAATCGCACTAGTCCAATCATATCATACTCCATAGGCTTCGTTTAATTTGCTTTATAGTAGGGTGAAATTGCAAAAAAAACAACAAAAAACTGATTTCAACACGGCCAGCAAGTACATAGCAAAGAAAAAATACCCGAAAATAAACGAAATGCCGTTACCATGGTGATATTAAAGACAATTTAAAAAAATATGACTGCGAATGAATTATTGCACCAATCTATATAACATGCATGTAATATTCGGATAATTGCATAAAACAGATTGATTTGATAGTGGTCCTTATTATTACAAATACATGTTACTTACATTGTTACATTCAGGTAAGACATTAAGGAATATTATAAATATATTTAATACATTTTGTTTTCTTCAGGTCGTACAGACAGCACTAACAGGCCAATTGCTAATTGTTTTCTAATTAATATATACAGACACTCTCTGTTTTATTAAATGTTATAACAGTTTTTTTCCAAGTTTTATTTAATGAAAACAGTTTATACAAAGCACCACATCAGTCTGAGTTGGATATATCTTTAATTCATTAAAACAACGTATTATATACCGATATATATGTCCTAATATTGCCTATTCTCTGTAATAGAAGGGACATGGGGTGTGTACATAAATATGTCCATCCATATCCATCTATCTTATCTATATCTAACTATCTATCTAGCTATCTATCCATCTTATCTCTATCTATCTATCTATCTATCTGTCTATCTATCTATCTATCTAGTTAATGCACACACACAATCCTACAATAAATAATTATTTATAAGGATGTAATGTAAGTAATTTATTTCATGTGAGTATCTTATATTGCGATGAAAATCAATTGCAAATTATTATTATTAATTATTTCTAAAAAATATATATACACTTGCAATGTTTTACTCTGACCTCAATTAACGCATTTATATTATTTATTAATTGTTTTAGGCAGTCAGGCACTTCAGGAAGTGTTTATTTTAGAAAGTAAGTCATTTAGAAATAAACTAGTACAACCTAAAACACCGAAATCCCAGTTTTAGTACCCTTCTGTGTCAGATGTAACCAAATAAACACACACACAATGAATATTGTAACATATCTTGTTCGATCTAAACCTGAAAATCTTGCTCATATCGAACAATAACACTATATATATCATTGATGTTTTTTTAATGAAACCCCATAATGACCATTAATGATCACAAATTCAGTAACTATGTGTACTGATTAGCAGCTACCGAAGGAGTAAACAAAATTATCCAACAATCATATATTTATTATTTTATGGTCATTGGTCCATTGTGTGATCAAATAAAATAAAACAGTTTTAACTATTGCATCCAATGATCATGTATTGTTCTTCATTGTATCCTTCTAAAAGATTATTTATAATATCCTTTATTCTGTATTATCTACCTTTTTATCTTTGAATCATCGCTAATTTCCCTGATACATTCTCAGTAAATTTCTTGCAAATATTTGTTTCAGAGTTACAATATTTAGGCATTCTACTACGCTATCTACTTTTTGATTTTGTCCCCTTTGCAAATCATAAGATAAAAATGTCATTTTATATAGCTGTAAATGACATTTTTGGTAGACCAGGGAGTCCCATGACTCCCTGCCTGACACGATAGGAACTGGGCATCAGAACATCTGGAGTTCCACATGTGTATACAAAGTTTTTTGTGCCCAACATTCTAAAGCATCTCCCCCACCCCCAGTTGAAGACAGCACAGCCAAAGGTAGAACAATATTGAATACAAACTATTATTTAAATACAGAATGCAAGTTGAGACCGGAGTAGGATGCCTGTGTTTAATTGCTGCCTAGATTTTATTGTTGTTTTATTATTTTGCTTTGTAAGTGGATTTAATTGATTGTGAGCAATCTGCCTTGCTGTGAAGTAGATTGATTGCAATAGATACTCAGAGGAAACATGTTGATCTGTTGCCCTGACTGTGTCCCATTACCCCATTCACTGTGCCCTTTATTTGGCATGTAAGAAGCTAGCAGTTGCAGGGGCAGGTAGGTGGCTGCGGTAGGTTCTGCAAGTTATCAGATTGGCAGATTTGGTAAAACCTGACCTTCCAGCCTGAGACAGAGCTGAAGGGAGCTGATTCCCACTGCTGTATCCTCCCCCAGCCTGCCCTATTGGTGTGGGAGGAGGGGCCCTAAATTCTGCACACCCAGGTATTGCATCTGAGTCTAATAACACCCAGACACCCTCACCAGTGCACTCCTCCTCCTGCAGCCAGTCCCTGCTAGTGTACTCTGCACTGCTCACTGCAACCTGCATTCTGCTGCTGGGGCATCCTATACAGGGGCTGAGATCTGCTATGATATGAAAACAAGGCAGCACAACTCCCATCACTGCCAGGAACAGGTCTGACACTTGGGACAGGAAGACACGCCAGTGGGTTAACTCATCTACAGCCTGGGATCAACTCTGTATACCCTGGGGTATACATGGGGTGTTACATGGAATAATAACCAGCCATGGGATGCAGACTACCTACCCAGGATAGACTGTGATTTAGGGTCCAAGTAATTCCCCACTCCCCCCACCGCCCCCAGAATCGTCACCAGGGGGGAACTAATCAGCAAGAGAAGAGCAAGAAGGAACTCCATGGACAACACCCTTATGCTCTGTATGACAAGAGACAAGGTCACCCCAGGACAGGGCACTAACACTAATTAAGGACTGGCCGGGGGCTGGCTGAGAGTTGTTGCACTGGGTGGCCAGTCTGTCTCCCTGTTTGCCCAATCTGATGCTTGCCAACCCTTCCATATGATCTGCCCCATGGGCAGCAATATGTTTCTGCCCCCACCAGTCCGGAAGGGTTTCTCCATCGAGGCCCTGGTGGGGCCAGACCGCAGCCCAGAAGAGCCACTCAGACCCACCGCTCTCAAATACCCGGAGCCCGGACTGACCCCTGCACACTTGCGACCTGGAATCCGGCTCCTGGGGGCCCCGGACCTGGTGTTTCCAGAACCCACCAACCCCCAGTATGGCCATGCCCTGGGCATCCAACAACACCGGCTGATACACAGGGACCCACTCAGCTTCTGTCCCTGGATCCTGCGTCATCCCATGCCAGGTGGGTGAGGGTACAGGGATGGGGAGATCTTGAGGGGATGGGAATATTATTAACTGTTGGCGGGGCGAGACTGAGGGCATGAGGGCATACCTCATGTCTAAAGTAAACTTCTTATTACTATATTATTACAGATACAATGTTTCAATGACTACCTTCCCAATGATTCATTTTTAACACACAAACAATTCAAGCAAGCTGAATACATTTTCTTAAAAAAAAATAATTAAAAAGTTGAGTTTTGGATATTTCTTGGCTACTAACCCTGGCTACTTTGGGCAACATTCTCACTTGGGTGTCTGCTCACCCTTTGTGATTTTTTTTGTAGAGGATCTGAAGTTAATTGATAACAGTGGTTTGGGAGCTGCCCTTATTAAACTACATATGGGTATGTGCAATACAGCACATGCCAACATGTGAATGGGTCTCAAGAGGTTTGCGTGATTCTGCATGCTAAGTAATGTTCTCAGAGCAGGGAAAGACTAAATTTTACATTTTATAAAAACCTAATGCAAAAACAAAAATAGTATAAATCATTTTAGAATTCACTGATTTATTTCTATATAACCTGCATGTGAAATTAACATACATAATTATACAGTAATGAAATATTCTGGAGAGGTTTGTTTGAAATATTTCACTTACTAAAACGAGTACTATATTTTCTCTCTCTCTCTCTCTCTCTCTCTCTCTCTCTCTCTCTCTCTCTCTCTCTTTCTTTCTCTCTCTCTCTCTCTCTCACTTTCTCTCTTTATATGTTATTAGTAGATGGAAAGTAAGTTAGAATATACACTAAATCTACACAATTGTTGTAGCTTTCATTGTGCCTTTAAAATAATCCAGTTTATACACTTTGAATTATTTATATATATATTTAATATTTATTTTATTTTTTTCCTACCATTCTACCAATTTCCACATCCACTCATATTTTTATGTATTATTTGTAGTGCAGGTTATATTATTTGCTCTTGTTAAATAAATGAATTTAGAGTGCACATAATAATGACTGTTTAAAATATTCAATTTTCATGTATAATGCAACTCATGAATATTTAAATAATTGGGGAAAATACTGTTTATTTGTTATTTTTGTAATCACCCTAGAAGTATGAAAAACACACATGAAACATGTTTGTTAATATTAATATCAGAGTTTATCTTTCCCTATATTACTATTGTCTTATTTATTTCGTTTTTATTCTGAATAATTAAACCGTAGTTTGTAAATATATTAACATTATAATTTCAGTACAAAATATGTAAACTACTATATGATAATGGATGGAACATTTAATTTATTTATTTTACTATAAATATGTATATATGGTGGAATAAAGTCATTAACAAAAAAGAAAGAAAGAAAGAAAGAAAGAAAGAAAGAAAAGAGTAAAGTGTGGCTACTTCCTAAAATTCTGTAACCCAGTACCACCCCAGTTAATTTTAGGAAACACAAGCACAAAAAGACATGTATAATGGTTAATTGTATCACAGTCTGTTTAGGTAAAGCTTTATTGAAAATTGCACATTACAAATTTAAACACATGTTCACACACATTTAGTATCTCAATTTCTTTTCATTTCTAATTCCCCATTTCCAATTAAAAATAAAGCGTATAGTGAATTTCAGCCCCTGATAAAGGATTTGTAAGCATAATTAAGCCTTTATGAGCTAAAACAAATCTAAAATTTGTGATATTATTGTCATTATTATTATTATAGTTATATATATCTTGATATCTATACAATTTCTTTATAATATTATATTCATAATTATCTCAATATTTATCTAATTTCATTCTCTGATCATTTGTAATGTTTAATTTAAAAAAAATCAAGCTTTTTTTTTTTTAAATCTATTTTGCTTACACATATCTTTTTTTATATCCCAATATATTAAATAAAACAATGATTCTTAGGGTTAAAATAATTTATTTTATTGTAATTTTTCTCTTTTATTCTGGGCAAATAATCCTAAAAAAAAGTTTGCAAAAAGCATTAGGACTCATTCATAAATAAATATAGTGCAGTAATGGTACTAAAAATGATTGAAAGGGGTAACAAAAAGTGCACTAACAGGACTTGAATAATAAATTGTTTACATTTTTAGATTTTCTATCACTGTTTAATCAAACAGCCTTGTTGTCCTGAACTCATCATGGGTAAATATTGCAATTTATATATAATAATGACAATAGTATTAATGGATATTTTAAATAGAATTATTTGCAGGAAGGGTACATTTATTGTTCACTAGTCTCAAATTATATTGTCTGTGCTTTGATGGTTTTATAATTTAAGTGATTTCAGTAGTATTGTCTCCAATCTGCTATAAACAAAGAACAAATCCCATACATGGGTATAGGTATTGAGATATTTAATAACATCAAATAAAAAATCGATCAGAAATTATTAGCCTGACTACAAAATATGAGCTATAATACCCAACTGTACCTACAGCGTTCTTAGAGAATATTTCCAGATACTTTTTAGGTTAAAACTTGCAATCTCTTTTTTCAATTTACTTAATAAATAGTGCATATCCCACTATTCGGAATCCCCGATACATACACGCAGACATAACCCAACTGTTTTCCAGAAACAGCATGACATTCCCAGGAGATGGGTCCCCAAAATCGACAAGATGTGTATTTCCCCTCCAGTAGCCTGCTGACATCAAGGTCAAACCCACCTACGAGTTTGTTACTTTTGTATTTGACATTCTAAGCCTTATAGGGCTTCTGTATTGCAAATTATTTGTATTTGCAAATATTGATTCTCGACACCTATTCACTCTTGTCCTTCTATTGTACAAGACAATGATTTAATATACTATTACTGCTCAAAAACCTACAAATAAAGAATTATTAAAAATAAATAAATAGTGCCTATTTAATAATGAAATTAGCTAACATGTCTCATTTTTCACTTACATTTTATCAATAAAAGCCATTTGGTCTTAAAAGTACAATCGTATCCCATAGAGCTACAATATATTTCTACCCCTCATAAATATTTTATAATATATAAGATACATATCCCCTTAAATTGGCAGAATGGGTCCATGAATCATCCGCTCTTTAAAAAAAATGGCCGCCCCAAGGCGATCTTGCACGTAGACAATTTTTGTAACTTTATTTGAGCAGCCTACTTTGTTATTCTTTGTATGATTGTTTAGATACCTGTAATGCATACTCATCAATCCGCCATTTTAAATTATACCTGTGAGTGTATTATATTGCATAGCGCGCAATTGCTTTTCTTTCTTCATAAATTATCCTAAACCGTAATCTCCCTGATCTTTGATTATTGCCCTTCACATACAAGCCTGGAAGACACAATAATAATAATGTTTTCATAAGCGTAGGCTTTAGACCAACTCAATTTCTCAGTCTAAATAAGTGGGCCATAAATAGCATTCTATTGAGGATTGATGTATTGTAATCACAAAATACCATGCACAACAGCAGCACTCAAATATTTTGTGTGGTGGGGAAATGTGCCAAATTTCTCAATCTGCCATACTGTGTGTGATTCCATGTTATTGAGAGCAGATGACATTTGTTTATCACAATGGAGCTCATTTAAAACATTATTTTAATGCCCTGTTACTGGCTTTTGTGGAGGGCTGGGGTGGGGGGTTTATGTCAAAAGTATGATTACCTTGCAATATACTATTTACGATAATAACAAAATGGGTTTAAGGAGAACAAATAGCAGTATTATGTAAACTACAAAGAAGGAGTTTGAAAATATCTTCATAAAGAATAATCAAAATGTATAATCAGAAAGTTATTTTATACAGTTTTAGTCATTTAATTTTAAGCAATATCAAAGGACTTAGTGGTCATACTAGCGATAAATATTAAAATCACCCCAGTTTCAAAAATATTTAGTTAGGGCTAATAATTGAATTATTCCATGCCTTGTAATAAGTGAATGGTCTATAATGGGGTAGGCAACCTTAGGCACTTCAGATGATTTGGACCACATATCCCATAATGCTCTTACAGCCCTGGTAAAGGATATATCATGCTCACAGAATCAATATTTTTTCTGAGGGGTATATTCCTTTAACTCCAAAATGTAACTATGAAATGTGAACAGAACAACATACTCAAAAATAGCTGTTTTGGTTAAATTCTCCAACTCTGCTCTAGTCAAAGCTTGTAAATATTAGCTTCAGTTTTGTCATTCGGACTTCTATTCGCTACATTCTAATTTTAGTGAAGAGCCCTGTAAGTTGCGAGGGCAATAATTTATATCAGTAAGCAGTGAATTTCGGTGTGTGTGGACTAAATTATAAAATGTAGGTTAAAATAACTGACTTGGAAACAAATATCAAGTTGATGAATTGAAGTTTAGCCTCCATTTTGAATGTCAGCTATGAACTCACCTTAATTAATCCATGATCTGTTGACTTAAAAAAAGATTGTCCTAGTCCTGTATTTTTCCCGTTGCGTTTTAGGAGGCAAGAATCTTAAAGGAATACAAGTTTTAAAACTGTAATCCTTTTAAGGCAGCATAATCGTATTTCTGTTTTACGCTACACAATATATACATGTACATTTAGGTGAAAGATCATTTTTTATGTTAAGATAAATCCCAGGACCTAGTTGCTAATTAAAGGGTCTCTGTCATTACCATGTAGTGAATTCAAACTCTAAATGCATTATATACTTAGAGAACATCTGAGTTTCGTCTTCCATTTTGTGTAATCTTTACTGGAGTGGTTTCTTGGTGAAGAACACCAATCTTTTGTGTTTATTGGTGTTAAATAGTCTTGGCTAATAACTTTATTTACTACTGTCTTTTATGTTTACATCAAGAATAGATAAAATTGTTCACAAATAAAAACTTCTTGTTAATGATGACAAGTAAATCAAATTATATTATTTATGTACACAGTTACATGAATGTACACAGTGTATTTCATTATACCAGAAATTGTCAGGAACTGACTACGTAATTACACATTCTAGATCATATATGAAAAAAAAACAAAACATTTTTTCCTGATTGTCTATTTTGGAACACCTCTGTTAATTCCCATTTTATTGAATAACCCTGACAGGGAACAATATCCGTTACCGCTGTGTGAGTGAGTGGTTGTTTACGTGGATGCACATAATGATATATTGTAGCAAAACTCGATTAAACCTTATTTCAAACCGCTAAATACATTTTAATATGCAATAGCGTTACAGGGTTATTCAGTAAAGTGTGAGTTCAAAGTGAATTCTAAGTTATTTTAACTTTATTGAATAACCCTATAAGAGTTTTATTTTCTAGTAAGTACAATTCCACAATCACTGCTATTGTTATTATATGCCTAACCGTGCAGTAAGAAATTATATATGCAGTGTTTAATTAACATATTGACTCTCATCCCTCCCCATTCACGACCCAACAAATATATATATTATAAGTGGTAAATATAGCTCAAGTGGCAAGGGATTACCTAGTTTGACTTAATTAACTAGTTTACATAAACATAAGTGTTTAGTCTGCTGCTTAATGCATTAGAAATATTTTTCTATACATTTGTTTTCAGCTACTTTTTTTTGCCTAAAATTAAAAATATACTTTCCATTCACTTTGAATTCCCTACAATATACACTTTAGTGAATTACTCCCTATATGTAAAATGAGAATACAATATTTCATAACAACATATGTATCAAGATGAACTTTAATTTTTAGGCCAATATATATAGCCAAAGTGAAAATATTTTCAAATATTTTTAAATTTGAAATTCACATTGAATTCTTGACTATTCACACTTTATTGAATACATCTGACAGGTGCTAAAAAAGAACGACAGGTATTAATTTTGTTTTGTCATTCAACTTTTGTTTGCCTAATGATTGCAGCATAGTGTAGAAACCTAGTAAATGAAAATAGTAATTATAAATTAGAGAAAAATTCAAGGGTGGTTTTCAAACCAACTGATCAGACAAATGATAAATGATGCGTTATTACAGTAATTATTTGATTTGACTGTATGCTGCTTATTATTCTGTAATAATAAGCAACATTCAAACAAATCTAATAATAATTAATTAGTTTGTCCACTAAGCACTTGGGATAATTTTGCAATTTACTTATATTCTCAGTTTGACTGTTTGGCATAATTTTGTAAATTTGTCCATAAATCCTCACATTTTCTCCTCATAAAATGTGACAGGTCAACACACGGATGCACACATTAGGAAACATTACCCAGTTAGTGATCCTATTGCAAACCCATTGCTACCACGATGTATATTGGTTTTATTTAAGCCTAAGGTGACTTAGACTTGGGTCATTGGCAACAGGCATGCCCTGTACCATAATAACTGTACATCTCACCCGATTCAGAAACGGCTGCTTATAACAGAATAAGACACCAAACGATTGATCCACGGCACCACCAAAAACCTCGATATATCCCTCTCCCATTGTAGAGTACTAAGGGTGAGCCAAATTTAGGATCCTCAATTGCCACCACACACCTCATGTTTAGCACACCTGTCGAGACCATAATATTAAGCTGTTAATCCAAAAGAAATTAAAAAAAATGATACCTTATATATGATGACCAAAACCACTCTACCGTTTCATATACCAAGTTAATTTTGTTAGTATTATACTTGCTTTATCTTATGGGATCCACTGTTACTGTATTAGTTTTACTTTACTGTATCACGGCTCGTGCTCAAGTTCGGTTATACTCTTTTGTCATTTTGCCTTGTCAATCAAAAATAAAGAATTAAAAAAAAATGTGACAGGTCAGTGACAATACGGTGATGTATTTGATCACATATTAGCAGCCATGTGACATAAACAAATGTAGTCAAATTTAGGAGTCCAATAATTTGCTATATTGAAGATTCTTTTTCAACTTATGTATTTTACCCTAAGTTTGCCAGTTGATTTCCAACTCACAACAGTCATTCATTAGCAACAGTTCTTGGACAACACTACACAGGATTATTTACTAAAGTGATTTAAAGTTAGCTCAAAGAGAATTTCACATTTAAGGAAAAAGTAACGGAACTGGAAGATTAGCTGAAATAATCCGGAAAAAAAGTGCGCTTAAAAATATCTGGTGTAGACTATCCCATCCAGCCACATGTGCACACACATATATGTGTGTGTGTATGTGTGTGTGTGTATGTATATGTATATATATATATGTATATATATATATATATATATATATATATATATATATACCAATATTTGTAGAAAGATGGTCTTTTATAAAATCAAAGAAACTTTTATTGTAAATCCATTAAAAAAGATTTACGCTTCAGTCCCTCTAGAGGACTTTCATCAAGATCAAAGATAGAGGGACTGAAACGTCAATATTTTTAAAAATAAGTTACAATAAAAGTTTCTTTAAATTTATAAAAGACCGAGAGTGCAGCCATCTATCTACAAGTATTGGATATTAAGAGACCTGCGATATTGCACCTGGCTATAAATGACTATAAAACCTTGGTTGTAACGATCCACCGCAACATTTATATACATGTACCATATGTATATTTGGATCCGATAGTCGGCAATAGATATTTTTTATGTTATAGTCACAGATTTTATTTCAAGAAGCATTATTGATTATTAACCCCTTAACGACTGCTGACGGTTCAGGGCCGTCATTGGAAAAATCCCCTTGAGGACCGGTGACGGTCCTGAACCGACATGTACTTACCTGATCACCGTCGTTCCCCCGGCACGATCTGTGTTGCTCCCGGTGTGGAGAGACTGCTTGACAGTCCAGGCAGTCTCCCCTCAGCGAATTAGGATCCCGCGGCATGTGATCGCTCTAACAGAGCGGTCACATGGCCGCAGTAGGTGTCCAAGTATCTGCCTGCAGGGGGACTGCCTGTGCTGACAGGCAGTCTCCCTGCATGTGTAAAAAAATAAATAAATAATGTTAATAAATAAAAATATAATTAAATATGTGTGTGTATATATGTCTATATATCTTTTATATATAATGTCATACTAAGTGTATTTTTATATATGTATTTTTATATTAATATATAGATAGAAACATAGAATGTGACGGCAGATAAGAACCATTCGGCCCATCTAGTCTGCCCAATTTTCTAAATACTTTCATTAGTCCCTAGCCTTATCTTATAGTTAGGATAGCCTTCTGCCTATCCCACGCATGCTTAAAATCCTTTACTGTGTTAACCTCTACTACTTCAGCTGGAAGGCTATTCCATGCATCCACTACCCTCTCAGTAAAGTAATACTTCCTGATATTATTTTTAAACCTCTGTCCCTCTAATTTAAGACTATGTCCTCTTGTTGTGGTAGTTTTTTTTCTTTTAAATATAGTCTCCTCCTTTACTGTGTTGATTCCCTTTATATATTTAAATGTTTCTATCATATCCCCCCTGTCTCGTCTTTCCTCCAAGCTATACATGTTAAGATCCTTTAACCTTTCCTGGTAAGTTTTATCCCGCAATCCATGAACCAGTTTAGTAGCCCTTCTCTGAACCCTCTCTAAGGTATCAATATCCTTCTGAAGATACGGTCTCCAGTACTGTGTACAATACTCCAAGTGAGGTCTCACCAGTGTTCTGTACAATGGCATGAGCACTTCCCTCTTTCTACTGCTAATACCTCTCCCTATACAACCAAGCATTCTGCTAGCATTTCCTGCTGCTCTATTACATTGTCTGCCTACCTTTAAGTCATCAGAAATAATCACCCCTAAATCCCTTTCCTCAGATGTTGAGGTTAGGACCATCAAATATTCTGTACTCTGCCCTTGGGTTTTTACGTCCAAGATGCATTATCTTGCACTTATCCACATTAAATGTCAGTTGCCACAATTCTGACCATTTTCTAGTTTACCTAAATCTATATTTATTAAAATAAAAATACACTTATAATTAAATTACACACGTGTGTATATATATATATATATATATAATATATATTATAACTATATATATTATATATATATTATTATAAATACAAATAATAAGTAAATTAAAATAAATTTAAAAAACTAAAATAATTTACATTTTTAAATTTTTATATATATATATATATATATGTGAAATTTTTTTCTAACTGTATTTTGATATTAATATATATTTATATCCATTTCTTGACACTATAGTGATCCTTTAAGTAAGGCTGCTTTTTTTCAGTGTTGCTATAACATACATGTTTGGCAGTAAAATATTTCTAAAAGATTCTTCCAAGTACTATAGTGGTTATAGTGCAAAGACTTTATATCAGAGATATAGATAGTTATTCATTAATATATTTATATCCATATACAAAATTACATAAATAATTTCATAAATATACTCATAGACTTCAAATATATAAATATATATTTAAATTCTATGTGTGTATTTATGTAATATTTTTACGTAGTTAGGAATTTTATTGATTGCAATTTGAGTCCTGAGAATTTAATTACCTAGCACTGTATTTAACCCGGTAACTTTCTATGACACCCTAAAACCTGTACATAGGGGGGTACTGTTTTATTCAGGGGATTCGCTGAACACAAATATTAGTGTTTCAAAACTGTAAAACCTATCACAGCGATGATGTTGTCAGTGAAAGTGATGTCTTTTGCATTTTTCACACACAAACAGCATTTTCACTGATGATAAAATTGTTGTGATACGTTTTACTGTTTTGGAACACTAATATTTGTATTCAGCAAAGTCTCCCAAGTATAACAGTACCCCCCATGTACAGGTTTTATAGTGTTTTTGAAAGTTACAGGGTCAAATATAAGGGTCAGTTTTTTTTACATTGAAAATTGCCAGGTTGGTAATGTTGCCTTTGAAAGCATATGGTAGCCCAAGAATGAGAATTACCCCTATGATGGCATAGCATTTGCAAAAAAAGACAACCCAAGGTATTGCAAATAGGGTATGTTCATTCTTTTTTAGTAGCCACTTAGTCAAAAACACTGGCCAAAGTTAGCGTTCATAATTGTTTTTTGCATTTTTTAACACACAAACAAATATAAATGCTAACTTTGGCCAGTATTTGTGACTAAGTGGCTACTAAAAAGTCTGGACATACCATGGGTTGTCTACTTTGAAAAAAATATATGTACATGTGAGGTGTGATTTAGAGATTTATGACAGATAACAGTTTTACGTCACTTTTGATACATTTTAAAATGTATAATTTGAAACAGCAATTTTCTATTTGTTCTTATAGCCCTAAAACTTGCAAAAATGGCAAAAAAAGCACGTAAACACTGGGTGTTTTTAAACTCAGGACAACATTTTGAATCTATTTAGCATTTTTTTTCCATTAGCTTTTGTAGATATGTAAAAAAAATTTCAAGTAAAAGTCAAAAAACATGTTTTGTTTTCAATTTTTCACCATATTTTATTATTTTGTAAAAAAGTAATTATATGACATGATACAAATAATGGTATGTAATGGTATGTAAAGAAAGCCCTTCTTGTCCTGAAAAAAACCCCAATATATAATTTGTATGGGAACAGTAAATGAGAGAGAGGAGAATTACAGCTAAACACAAACACCACAAAAGCTCTGGTCCTTAATGTACAACATGGCTAAAACAGGGGTTAAGTATAATTTTAAGAGCAACACTTTTTCCTGGATTTCTTTTTTCCATTGTGAGTTACTATGGGAGTGATTACTGCTGGATTTTGTACACTAATATTTTTGGGTCATATATAAACAGTTTTGTTAGTATCTTAAGTGCTATCCACATTTTTGTTGTTTAATTTTGGAAGATTAGCTGACTAATTAGTGGAAAATTAGCAAATTTTTACAGTTCACCTACTTTTTCCTTACTTTTAAAATTCACTTTGAACAAACAAAAATCTGTTTACTTGGAGCTACGCTTGTTAATAAAAAAAAGAAACGCAAATAAATTAAAGACTATTACAACCCGATGTATGCCGGTCAATGGAAAAAAAATCAACTGCCGTAACATGGTCTTCTAATGAATAGAAATCACAATGAAAATATTGTGATAATTTATTTTATAATACAATGTATTGATAATACGGTATAACTTTTAATATCTGTAGCCGTGATTCCACACGTATCACTAAATTGCAATGAATGAAAATCCAAATGGCAACATATAATTCACGAACACAGCTGCAGGCACAGCTTGGCTTTTTTTCGTTTAAATTTTACCATTCGTATTTTCATTCACTGTCATTTTCAGTTTAGTGAATAACCCTGCAAATGTTTGTAGCCCCTTCTGGCAAAACAAATGTTAATAGCTATCCAGATGAGTCAGGCAGTAAATACTATGTTGGTTTTTTTTACTCTTAGTTTAATGAGTATCCATGACGCCCTCTGCCTCAGGATTTTTTTTGCTGCTAGTTCGTAGGATTTTTTTTGTTTTGACTTGGACATAAGTTGCTTTATTTAAAGTAATACTATGGAAATGCCGACCAGCGTTATGTGCAGTATATGACAGAACAAAACAAAACAAAGAACTTAAATTTGTAAATGATTTCTCCGGCATGAAGGAGGACACTAATAGGACTTCAGAATAAGTTCTTTATTTTAGTCATCAATGATAGAAAGGCCCAGCACTCCTCTTCTTTTTTGGTGATCTGATGAGCTGGAGTTTTTTTACTATTCAATGTTTGGTACTGGTGAAACTAAGGTTAACCTCGCTTTTGGAAAACCAGGCCTGATTGGCAAGGGCTGTGTTTTGCTTGTGCTGGCTCTGCCCCTGATCTGCCTACTTGACAGTCTCAGCCAATCCAATGCTTTTAAATGTGAAAGCATAATAATTGGCTGAAATCACCACTTCTGATGATGTCACACAATCAGGTAGATCAGGGGCAGAGCCACCAGTAGCAGACTGAAATAAAGGTAGACTATACTACATTTAAGGGTGTAAGCAGGAGGGGGGGAGCGAAAGGAGGGAAGGGGAGTGGGGATTTTAACACTATGGGGTCAGGAATACGTTTGTGTCCCTGAACCTATAGTGTTCCTTTAAGGGAAAATTCTGCTTTAAGTCTCTAAGTACACTTGACATTGGATAAATTCTAGAGCCAGAGTTTGACTCCAAGGCAATAAAGACTGGGAGACAGGGGGGGTTATGCCCTAAACTTTGATTTAAAAAGAACAACTTTCTTATTTTTTGTAAAGGAAAAAATAAATTGCCAAATTTAGACTAAAACAGTCAAGCTGTAACTAAAATGTTTTTGGAGAATTTTCCTAAAAATGTAATTTTATGAAAATCATCCATTTATTAACTGCAGTGAAAGTGGCACTATCATGTTATACTTTTTAATCTATTTTTAACTAAAAGGTGACGGCGCCCGCAGACAGGTAAATGGAACTCACCTTTCACTGCCCCCGGGCAACCGGACCCCCAAGGGTGATATCGGGATCCAGCACACTCACTCATTCACAATTTCAAAGCGCACATAATTTAATAGTTTTTAAAATTGTTCTTAATTCTTTTTTTTTCTTTCTTGTTTTTATGCCAATTTGGGCAGTGGAGTGTTCCTTTAAATAGGACCCTGAAATGAGGTACCAGTGGCAGGGAGGGGTGCTATACTGGGAGTTAACCTAGACTCCCAAATATATATAACTAAACACCCATTAAAATACATAACAGGAAAATCTATTTTTTTTTTCTGTCACATTTACATTCATATTTCATTGTCTTTTAAAATATTGACATTACAACCGTAGTCAGTCTCATCCACTAACATTTATCTAAAATTATCCATTCAATGTAAAAGAGATGTCTACTGAAGTTGTTTTGAGCAATAATGATTTGTAATCTTTGAGAATTCATTTTATTAATCAATGTATGCAAAATTAAAATCATGTGTAATTATGTATTCATGTTAAAGGGACACTGTAGTCACCCAGACCACTTCAGCTCAATGAAGTGGTCTGGGTGCCAGGTCCCCCAGGTTTTAACCCTTCAGATGTAAACATAGCAATTTCAGAAAAACTGCTATGTTTACATAGCAGGGTTAATCCAACCTCTAGTGGCTGTCTTCCCTACAGCCGTTAGAGGCGGTTCTGCGATGAAAATCGCATCCAGTGTGCAGAATGTCTATAGCAAAACATTGAGAAATGCTTTTCTATGGACTGTTTGAATGCGTGCGCGGCTGTTGCTGCGCATGCGCATTCCGCTCCACTCGGGAGCTGACGTCGGCGGGGGAGGAGAGGTCACCAGCGCCAAGGGATTAAGGTAAGTAACTGAAGGGTTTTTAACCTATTCAGCGCCAAGGGAGGGGGACCCTGAGGGTGGGGGGTCCTAAGGATGATATAGTGTCAGGAAAACAAGTTTATTTTCTTGACACTATAGTGATCCTTTAAGTAAGGCTGCTTTTTTCAGTGTTTCTATAACATACATGTTTGGCAGTAAAATATTTCTAAAAGATTCTTCCAAGTACTGTAGTGGTTATAGTGCAAAGACTTTATATCAGAGATATAGATAGTTATTCATTAATGTGAAAATTCAGCAGGAATGACAATATTTTCACTTGCAGGGTTAAAACTAGAAGGGCACAGCCCCCAAACCACTTCAATTACGTAATGTTGTCTGGGTTCCCCCGAGAATCAATTTCAATGTATTATCTTTTTAATGCATTAAAAAATGGGGTTGTTTTTACGCCATAGTTACCCTTTAATTTTTAAAGTGCACAATACTATTTGATCTGACTGCATATTATATCACGGGACCATGGGTGTCCACAGATCATTTTACCATGGGTGTCCATAGATAATTTTTTAAACTCCTTTCTGACGTTCATGCTATTGGAATGGGGTACAGTTTGTTGGAGCAATGAGAACATCATAGATTTCTACTCTGTTCTCCCGTTGAAGTAAATCCTGCATTTTTTTTTAAATTCCTGCTTAAAGAGACATTTAAATCATAAAAAAACTATAGCTTTTTGTAATAGTTATGGTGCAATGAGTCTTTGTGTGCAGTGCCTCTGGTTTGCAAAACATGTTAAAGCTGTTAATTTTATTCTATTTTACACACAGTGCCATATGCATGGTGTATGCATGGTTACGGCATTTGTCTGTTAGATGCCGCCTGAGGCATCACAGGACTGTGAATCTATCTATCCAGCACCCAGCAACTATTGCCATTCGAAGGGGGAGCCACAATAAAGAGGATGTGCTGCAGGTGGTGAGAGAGTCTCAATTTCCAAAACCTCTTGAAAATGTTTTGGTCCAAACTGCACGTGTGGTTAACGCAGACGGTTTGCACCATAACCACAAAAATGAGTAATGGTGCCTTGTGTGCCCCTTTAAGAAGTACAAACTAACATTTTGGAAATCACGTAATATTTTAGTGTAATTAACAGCTTAGTGAATGAACCCCATTACAGTCTTTCTTATTTTAATTATTGTTTTGATTCCTGTAGCTGGGAGGTAAACTTTGAAGGCTTTTAAAATATTTCTACCCAATTCTGAATTGCTAGCTATTTGACCTTTTGAAAATTACAGTTGTAATACCAAAAGACAGAATGATTTCTAATTTTGCCAGAGGGACCAATAACAAGCTGCCACCAAATAGCAAAAGCCTGTCTCCATAAATCCATCACAAAAACTAAAAACACAAAAAAGTAAATAAATAATGAAAAAAATATAGTGACATTAATAAACCATAAAATGTTGGTGCGGTTTTAAAAATGAGCACTAGAGCTGCCTAGATTGAAATCATCCTACCTTAAATAGCTAGACACTTGAAGGGACCCTCCGAGCACCATAACAAATTCATTGAAATCTTTCTTAAGCCATTTTATGAATGGTGAGCTACTGATTGGCTTAGAGCGTCAGCGGACCACTCTAAGCCAATCAGAGATGCTCCTGCCCTCAGCAGTCCAAGCCTTCCATTTTGAAGATTTTCAGAAAGCAGATTTTTTTTTTAGGGGCAGAGCAAAATTGCGCTGTTGAGTAGCTTTTGGGATTAAACTAATAATGAACAATTTAACCCCTAAAATTAAACCAGCGCCAGAAACCTCCTGGTACCATAACCACTTGATTTTTATGAAGTTGTTATAGTGACCGGAGCGTTCCTTTAAAAAGTGTTTGAAAAACGTACTATGTATGAATACACCGCCCAACATTTAAAATGGACAAAGAGGCACACTTTAATTTTAAGAAGATGAGTGTAGGTGTGGCCAGGAGTGGGGCTGTCCTGAGAAATTTTGGGTGATTTAGTAATAATGATTTATGCAAATAAATTGTAATTTAACACGAGAATAATCCTATTTACAGATTTACATAGACTGATGTCTAAACGAATATATTGTAGTTTAAAGATACAATACCGTAAATATTATTACTATGAAACTTGGTTATACACTCATTAGGAAAGAAAAAGGGGACAGAAGAATTTTGGACCAAAATAGAGACTGTCCCTCCTGAACAGGGACCATTTGAAGTTATGTATAAAACAGACTTATGAGGCCTATGGGAACTGGCAGCACTCTTTGTTGCTAAAGATAGTTACTTTATCAGCTTTATTTTTATTACACTAGTATTTTGCATCATCGGATGATTATTAATACATTTTGAAAACAGAAGAAATAATTAATGAAATTCATTTGAACCAGGATCCTATTTAAAGGAACACTATCGCGTTAGGAATACAAAACTGTATTCCTAATGCTATAGTGTCCCTCTTTCTCTGCTGCTTCCCCCCTTCCACCCGCCTTGCTGTTGACAAAAACCTTTTTTACACTTACCTGTTTCATCTCCTCCTCCAGCAACGTCACCCTATTGGGGGATCCTAATGCACCTGATTCCCCATAGGATCCTAATGCACCTGCTTCCCCATAAGATTATATTTTATTATTAATACTATCCTTATTACCAGCATTCATATATTGCTCATATATTTGCAGCCCTTTACAATTACATTATATATTTATTTAGAAATTGAACGCCAAAAATAATGTTGATAGATGCAAGAAGAAGGGACTGCTCCTTTTAGGTAAGATTTCCTAAAGAGGTGGCTTTTAAGTGACTTCTTAAAGGACTGGAGTCTACTACAATTTCCAAAAGGAGCTGGTAGGGCATTCAATAAGAGTGAGAGAAATCCTGTAGAAAGCAACAGTGAGGGAATAAACAGAGAACCAGCGAAAGTCATTGGCAGACTGACAAGCTTGAGAAGGGATGTATTTGTTCGTTAAACAGGAAATGTAATGAATGATAAAAGGAAGTGTTGAAGGATTTGTGAGTTAAAGTTAGTAGTATGAATTTAATTCTGTAGGGTACAAAATAATAAAATAATTGTAGAGAGTTCCTGTACCAGGTAAAAGTAGAGTTTGGGGGAGAATGGAAAGGGGAGATATCATTTAATTCTTTCAATGAAGTGACACACAATCTCTGGCTGTGAGGATTGTGTGCCGGGAAGTTGCAGTCGGGAAGAGTAGGGAGTTAAAGATGTTAAAAAGGAGTCTGGGTTTACTGTAATTCTGTAGGTTCTTTAAAAAGAAGGTAAATGATCTTATTTGGCAAAGTAGAATGCATAACTATAAGAATGTAGCATGTACGTTACAACACTGTCACATGAACATTTGCATTCACACACTTATTTAGGAATACATATATCTAGGATTTAGGAGTCTATTTATTCGTTTGGGAGAAAGGTGACTTCAAGTAAGATTATGCATGTTCTAAACCTGGATGTGGCAACTTGGCAAAATCAATGTTTAATTTATCAATTTGCAAATCCTCGCTGCTGGATTCCGCTTGAATAATTTTCTATTAAATCCCATTAATGCTGGGATTTCAATTAAAATGTACAGGAACATGGGGCAATCTCCACAGTAAGGTTTTCCTCTACTGTTTAGAACTAAGCAACCAAATAGGGTTGCTAGTGATTATCCGAGGTTAGCTTGATTTATTGTATGAAAATGACCATCTCGACCACCTGAGAAGTTCTATCATGAAACAAATTTTTTAAATATCAAAGCAGTAAATAAGCTTATTTAGTTCTCTAGAATATATGGCCACTTGCTTAATATTGGACTTGTTTATTTTCTCCAGGTGAAGAAAATAATCCAGAAAATTATTTGCTTCAGGGACCCTTTTCACGCAAACCCAAAAGGATAAGAACCGCTTTCTCTCCCTCCCAACTCCTGCGTCTCGAAGGAGCGTTTGAGAAGAACCACTATGTGGTGGGAACAGAAAGGAAGCAACTTGCAAACAGTCTATGTTTGACAGAAACTCAGGTAGGACACGTTCAACACAAGAAAAATTCTGTTTTTAGGCGATCAGTGACCTTATCTCTATAAAGACCAACAGTGTTGTTTTTGTGAATCTATGAGCATTATGAATTAGGGGCAATTCTTCAGTTTCCATGGCAATTGTTCCTCTGTAGAAAGGAAAAGGGTGCTTAGCGTCTAATGTATTTATTAAAAAAAACTTAGATTTTTCAAAATTCTATGTCAATTTAAGGTCAGTACAGATAACTGCAAAACAGTTTTTACAGCATGTTAAAAAATGTTTTCATAAAATAATTATCTTCTTGATATTGCTATTAAAGGAACACTCCAAACACTTTAGTGGTTATGGTGTCAGCATTATACACCAAGAAAATATATAAATATGTTAGCTGTGGAAACGTTGGGGCTTTTGAGGACAAGTATTACATCATGGCCACTTGGAAAAGGGACCAACAATTGCTCTCAAGTAGAAATTTGTTGCGCATAATAAAAAAGTGTAATATGTGACTTGATAGGAATTTTAAGTGAACCTGTAGATAATTTAAGGCCAAAGGAACCAACTTGAAAGCATTCTCCAATTCAGCTATCATTTAAAGGGTTACCTTCTGCTTTTTGAAGTGGTCATGGTGGTAGGAGTCAAGATGTGCAGTGTTTCAGTTTGAAACTCCGCACATCCAGAGTTACTTTTAATTGTGTGCCAAAGGGAAGTTGCACCACTTGCACATGTGTCTCAGGCAGCTCTGAACTCTGTATAGGGCTGCCTAATGTCAATTCCATGCATAAATTACATCTATCGTCAACACGCACTGCACACTGGTGACAGATGTAACTACTTCTCCCATGCAGGCCGAGAGCCACCAAAATCCCATTTGCATTTAAAAAAAAAAATCCCTCCTTTCCCCCTTCCTTTGCGGGCTCAGAGCATGCGCATGCGCTCTGAACCACTCAAATCCTCCAATCAAAGGCTTCTCTATGAGAACTGTGCCAAGCAGCGCCTGGGAGCTTTGCCCAGCACTGAGTTAAGATAAGTAAAAAACAATCTTTGAGTGTTTTTGTAGGGGGACTCATAGACTAACACCAATAGTGCATTATTCTATCTTCAATGAAAATGGGTTGGAGAAACCATTCAAAATTTATTTTGGTCTAAAATGGGAAATTAATTTACATTCATACTTCAATGAATAGCCCTAAATGTGTCAAAATTGCAGCCTTTTAAGGGTTCTGTCTTAATTAGACTTCAGCGTCATTACAGTGCTATTCAAAATGTGTTTTTATGGAGTGTAAAGGGAGAGCTTAGCTGCTATGCACAGTAACTGGCTGAGATTGATGGAAGATAATTTCAGCAGTATGAAAAGTATATTTTATTTATATATATATATACACACACACACACACACACACACACACACACATACAGCGAACCTCTCTCTAGTAGGGGTTATGTATAAAATAAATATATGGGGCAATAATCAAAGAAACCAATGGAATTTATGTCACTAGCTCTGAGAACTTTATTCTCAATAAATCATTCCCTAAATGTTCAAGAGAAAAAAAATATAAATCTGTAGCCGAAATTTAAGATACTTCTGATTCCACTCTATTTCCTCTTGCAGATGTTTTTAACTTAATGAATCACTGTTTTCTCCAAATTTAGAAGCCTTTTAATCTAGTAACCAATAATACAATCAGGGCAGAAATGAGCTTTAAAACCTGTTTTCACAGCTTCGACTTGCTGGATAAGAAGTTGTGATTAATTCCTAGTACTTTACATTTGACTGCAAAACATAGAAGATATATATAGCTGAAATCTTGCGCTTTTTGGAAAAGTACATCAAATAAGCATCAAATTTATTCAATGTTGATATATCTGGGTACACGATTTTACACAGTGATGTATAGGTCTTAATATTTATGGAAATAGAATGTGTTTAATGCTGTTCATTAGTGGAAGAGAGGAATAATTTCTAAATGTTGGTAAGGTAAAGTAGATTAAATAGATGGATGGAGATATTCCTCAAGCCAATGGTGTTGAATCAGATGTCTAATAAAGGCAAATTAACAGGTCATAATTTATTCAATAACGCAGCCTACTTGATCATCAATTTATTTTTACTTTTATCATCACAATATTTAATTGTTTTTGAAAGTCTTTATTAATGAAACATTCAATTACAACGTGGAAACATTACGTTAAGTATAAGAAGAGTTTAGGAGTAAGAGCCTGTAATAAGCGTACTCCGATAGAGTAATTACACAAAAAGAGAATTGCGTTTTTATTTACATAGCTAGAGATGTAACTGTTGTACATGATAGATATGGCGAAGAACGTTGCCTTGATCCGTACAGTATGACTTAGACCATAGTCGTCATAATACTTTGATCAGGATAATTCCCATCCTATTGTCAGAGTATCTGATATACTTTTCACAGGGCTGCTTTCATAGAAAATTGCAATTTTTCAGGAAGAATTCTCATCACTGCTACCAGCCATTGATCAGGAATAGAAACATAGAAACATAGAAATATAGAATGTGACGGCAGATAAGAACCATTCGGCCCATCTAGTCTTCCCAATTTTCTAAATACTTTCATTAGTCCCTGGCCTTATCGTATAGTTAGGATAGCCTTATGCCTATCCCACGCATGCTTAAACTCCTTTACTGTGTTAACCTCTACCACTTCAGTTGGAATTCTATTCCATACATCCACTACCCTCTCAGTAAAGTAATACTTCCTGATATTTTTAAACCTTTGCCCCTCTAATTTAAGACTATGTCCTCTTGTTGTGGTAGTTTTCCTTCTTTTAAATATAGTCTCCTCCTTTACTGTGTTGATTCCCTTTATGTATTTAAATGTTTCTATCATATTCCCCCTGTCTCGTCTTTCCTCTAAGCTATACATATTAAGATCCTTTAACCTTTCCTTGTAAGTTTTATCCCGCAATCCATGAACCAGTTTAGTAGCCCTTCTCTGAACTCTCTCTAAAGTATCAATATGTTTCTGTAGATATGGTCTCCAGTACTGCGTACAATACTCCAAATGAGGTCTCACCAGTGTTCTGTACAATGGCATGACCACTTCCCTATTTCTACTGCTAATACCTCTCCCTATACAACCAAGCATTCTGAGGAAGCAATACTGCCAACCAAGCAATACTGCCAACCTATTGACAGGACAATTGTTGTATTGCATAACTATTGTTAAGAAAATTTCCACGGAGGATAACCTATACATATTATTCCTCTCTCGTCAGTTATTAAGCAAATCTGCCATAATGGTAATTGGGATAGGACCCCTCATATGCAATATGTTGTATTGTTTTTTTTCTTGTTACTGCTATGAGTAATGGAATGTTCCTTTTTTATTAGCTATTTGTTCAGGGATTTATGGATAACTGTGTTCAAACAAGTTACTATTCTTATTAAAGACTAGTATATAATGGGTGAGGAGGGATATATAAAGTGATAATTGTTCCACGGGAGGGGTTACACGGGGAGAAGATCCTTTAATTATCATTTGCCAGTTAAGGTATGACTATTTACAAATTGGAGCTTGTATATGGTCATATTGTCTTTTATCCCTTCATGTCTAGATCGTTATACGGGGGTATGAGCAATAAGATAATAAAATAATATATTGCTGTTGGATGTTACTTTGACATATTTAGTGAAATATATGTGTGTTGCTATGATGTCAATAAAGATTTTCAAAAGAACAACCAAATCTGCCATTACCATCTGGTATCCTTCAAGTTTTATACTAACCGGAGACATGATGGTCAAGGGTTCTCTACCTACTACTTACCTACTGTTCATACAATGAAGTATGCTTATTTTCCTGGCTATTTGATAAAATAAATAATCATGCTTTCTATTGTTTCATGCAGCTTCGCTACTGGTAGATTGATTTTTTTTTATTCTAAATTCTAAATATTTGTAATGTTCATACTAAAGTAGAAATTTGACAAGAGAGGAAATTTGCTTTTAAATTAAAGATTTTAATTCTTTTTTTATTTTTTATTTAATTTTCAACAGGTAAAAGTTTGGTTTCAGAACCGAAGAACGAAACACAAGCGTCAAAAGCTAGAAGAGGAGTGTCCCGAGTCTCAGCAAAAAAGGAAAAGCAGCCAGCATATTAACAGATGGAGAATGGCGACATGTCAGAACAGCTCTAAAGACATTGACGTCACATCCGATGACTAGCAATACCTATTCAAAAACTAGGGCCTTACGCATGCAGGCTGATATTCATATCACCTGAAAAGGTGCATCATGTCTGGACAGCTCTCTATCAAAATAAAGGAACATTTGTTTATAAGACCACTCCAATGGCTTTATTACATTATGACCTCGCGCTTAAGATTTCCTCGTGGATTAGCTATGTTCTACATAAAAATGAACATTCCATGGAACTTCAGACTGTTTAACCCTTGCAAATAGTTTCTACGAGTCTCATTTCCAAGAGACCAGGTTGCAATGTTGCAAAACGATAACTGATAGCAATAATTGTGTTCATTGGGACTGGATATGCAGCTTGTAGCTCTGTAGCTATCTTGAACTATGACCTTTAAGATCTTCTTTTAACTTTTCACACTATGAACTGTGTCAGTGATACAGTTAATTTACTACCTTGATGCAGAGTTTCAGGCCAGTGCAGCCAAGCAAGTACCTCAGGAATACACATTCCTTACAGTATGCAGACAGCATGTAAATATATATTTAACATTAAAAATGTGGCGTTTCATGGGGACAAGTGCTTATTAAACATGTGAACTGTTGTTACTACTATTATTTTTTTATTGTCATTACTATTGCTATGGTTATAATACACCTACATTGTAGTAAGCCTTGTTTGAGAGAGGAGTATTTATTTTTATTATTAAAGGTATAATGATATGACCATAGGTTACTTCAAGCACCATGACCACTCCAGTAAATTAAAGTGGTCATGGTGTTTGCAGTCTGTATATTACATAGTTACATAGTTACATAGCTGAAAAGAGACTTTCGTCCATCATGTTCAGCCTTCCTCACATATGTTTTTTGCTGTTGATCCAAAAGAAGGCAATAAAACCCAGTCTGAAGCACTTCCAATTTTGCAACAAGCTAGGGAAAAAATTCCTTCTTGACCCAAGAATGGCAGTCAGATTAAACCTTGGATCAAGCAGCTATTACCCTACATTGAAAAATTATATCCTTGAATATTCTTTTTTTGCAAGTATGCATCTAGTTGCTGTTTGAACATCTGTATGGACACTGATAAAACCACTTCTTTAGGCAGAGAATTCCACATCCTTACTGTTCTTACATAAAAAAACCTTTTCTTTGCCTTAGACAAAATCTTCTTTCTTCCAGTCTAAACGCATGACCTTGTGTCCTATGTAAAGTCCGGTTTGTGAATAGATTTCCACATAATGGTTTGTATTGGCCCCGAATATATTTGTATCATGTTATCATATCCCCTCTCAGGCAACGTTTTTCTAAACTAAAGAGGTTTAAATTTGTTAACCTTTCTTCATAGCTGATATATTCCATTCCTTTTATTAATTTTGTAGCCCGCCTTTGCACTTTTTCTAGTGCCATCACATCCTTCTTTAGAACAGGTGCGCAAAATTGCACAGCATATTCAATTTGTGGTCTTACCAGTGATTTATAAAGAGGCAAAATGATATTCTCATACCGAGAATGAATGCTTTTTTTCATGCATGACAATACCTTACTGGCCTTAGCCACTGCTGATTGACATTGCACATTGTTGCATAGTTTGTTGTCTATAACAATTCCCAAGTCCTTTTCGTGTGTTGTTATCCCTAATTTGCTTCCATTAAGGGTATACGTTGCTTGTGCATTCTTTACGCCGAAGTGCATAACTTTGCATTTTTCAACATTAAATTTCATCTGCCATTTGAGTGCCCAGTAGTAGTCAAACCATTTGAGTATTGTTATGAGAAAGGTCCTCAGAATGATTTTAATTACCTTGGATCTGTTGTTAGCAATGCAGTGCTTAGCTCATTAGCTGAGAGCAAACACTCAATGCTCTCGGCCAATGAGGTAGGTCTGCACTGCAGGGCTTAGCTCAGGACAGCCAATCAACCTTTCACTACTGCTCTCGCTATAAGCTGTAGGGAGGGAGAGAGCGCCCCCTAAGGGATCCCTGGTAAGGTAAAACTGTTCTAAAATGCATAGACTACTTACAATGGGGTGTGGGGGGGAGGGGGGTACTCCTATAGGAACAGAATCTAATGTAATGCTATTACATAAAATTTCTAAATTCTGCTTATTTCCAATCCATCCTTTCCAGTTCCACATTTATTCACTATAACCATAGGTGTGCGCACGGGGTGTGCTGGGTGTGCCTGGGCACACCCTAATCCCCGTGGCACGCCAATGGAGTGAGACCGGCAGGGGAGATCTCAGGATCTCCCCTGTCGGCTCATGCAGAGCCGGCGCTATCCGAGTGCTGGCTCTGCTCTAAGCCTCCCTCCCCACTGCAGCATGGAGGGAGGCAGGAGAGGACCCGGGGAGATCAACCAGCAGCCCTGCCGGGTTCCTCTCGCGCATTGTGAGCGTTGCCGTGGCAACGCTCAGATCTCGCGAGAGGGACCTCTAGCCCCAAAGGGGGCTAGAGTTCACTCTCCACTGGACCACCAGGGAAAGCAGCAGGAACAAGAATCCCCCCTCCCTACATAAGAAGGTAGGGGGGATATTAAGTAATGTACCCCCACCTCCACCCCCACAATCACCCACACATACACAGCACACACACATACAGCACACACACCCACACACACAGCACCTACACATACAGCACACGCACACATACAGCACACGCACACATACAGCACGCACACACACATACAGCACCCACACACATACAGCACAGACACACACATACAGCACCGACACACAAACAGCACCCTCACACACAGCACACACATACAGCACACACACACAGTACTCACACACATACAGCACCCTCACACACATACAGCACACACATACAGCACCTTCACACATACAGCACACACACAGCACACACATACAGCACCCCCACACACATACAGCACCCTCGCACATACAGCACCCTCACAAACACACACACAGCACCCTCACACACAGCATCCTACAGGACCCTAACAAACACACACACACAGCACCCTCACACACACAGCACACTAACAGGACCCTAACAAACACACATACACACACACAGCACCCTTACACACACAACACCCTCAAACCACCCTCATGCAGCACACACAAACACACAGAGCAGTGTATGTATGTGTGTGTGTGTGTGTGTGTGTGTATAATATATATATATATATATATATATATATATATACATACATGTACACGCGGCGTGTGTTTGTGCTTTAGGGTGCACACCCTAATGCAAAAGGCTGCGCACGCCTATGACTATAACACTAATTTGTATGAAAGCATCCTTATTAAAATCTAAATCCCATGAATAATATCTCAGTCATGTATTCCATAGAAAAGTCACATAGTTCAGTATGTGAGGTTTATACTGTACTCGGATGCCTTCATCGTGTTTTAATTATTACATCACTATAACTGGTGTTTAACAACTATATTTTATTTTGTTTATAGCCCTCATGCCTTACATTGGCTGCATTGACATTTTTAGATCTATATGCAACCATATGGCGAAATGGTTGAATATCTTTTTACTCAGCAGAAGTGTCACAGGACATTTCCTTATTTAAATAAACTTACAAAAATACTCTTAAATAATATTATTTCCATCTATTAAGACCTTGATTTTTTTTTTTGGATAAGCTTTTCCAATGATTTAATATTTTGAAAAATATTTACATTTTTTAAAATGTATTTTGATATATATATTTTTTTTATATACAATATATTTTTGGATATTTTTTAATATTTTGAAAAATATTTAAATACTTAGAATATATTTTAAAATATATTTTTTTATATACAATTTTTTTTTGATATTTTAATATTTTGAATTTTTTTTTATTTTAAAAGCTTACCAAATAATATTAAATCATTTAGAAAACATCCAAAAATATAAAATCAGGGCCTTAGTAAACTATAGTGTAGTTAGCTGTAATTACCACTTATATTGTGCTATATTTGAATCACAAAAATTAATTACTTCCTTGCTGCTGACAGTGTATGATGCCATCAACCAATTAGAATGCGTTTTTAGATATTTGATCTCATTAACGTTTTACTACGTTGCAGGGAATGGGAGACTATTTTAATGCATTGTTGTCAGGGACCTACCTGATTGATGCACCACTCTTGTCTCCCTCTGTGAGGCGCATGTATTGACTGGGTGGAACCCTAGTACCTCCAGAGACTTGCCGCTTGCAGGGAACATCCTTTTATTAAATTAAAGTGCCCCTTGTCATTACTTTCTTGTATATTCCCCTACATAGAAAATAATCTAGATAAATATATATATATGTTACTTGCAGTGATAATAATGGATATATCAGAGGGGGTGTAATTGCGTTCAGTCATGTGGGATTCAGGAACTGCCCCGCCGCAATTCCATTTCTTTATTTTTTTCATCTGTTTTAAAACACTGTAGGTGTGTTGAGTTCTTTAACAGGATAGTCGAACCTAAGGACCACTTCTTTGGTCTTTGTCATAACAAACTTAATTATAAAAAAATACAATTACAGATTCGCAATATAATCATTTGAGGACCACCACGGAGGGCTTGACTGGAGGTGGTGGATATTGGAAAACAACTTAAAAACCTCATCGACTCTTTGTTCTTACAAGCATCTTGATCTTCAGACCTTAAAATGGTTTAAAATGGAAAAATATATTTCACAGTATCATAATGTGTCAACTGACCCTGGGCAATAGAATATCTTACTCATCTTTTTCCTTTAAACAGTTCTCAAAATCTTCAAGTAGAATACTTCCCTTGTTTGTGACTGGCCTTGTGGTGTCTGCTAATCCTACTTGGGCCGTCCGTACTGGCAATCAATTTTCATCCATCCACAGTTCTCTGACAAGAGCAAAATGTAATCATGCGTCCCCTCAGGAGAAACAAAATTATACAGACATCCTTTATTTTTTTTTCTTTACTTCAAAGACTATACAGTTTCCTTCAGAAAGACATTTTTTTGTTTTTTTCAGAAATTGTCATCAGATGAGCGTTATCCCAAAGGTAGTTGAGATTGTTACCCTTCTTTGCGGTAACACTTTGGTTCCAATTTGAACAATTTTATTAGGAGTTTGGTGCGTAGTAAATGATCTCAGGGACCAAAATTAAAGGCACTAATAGACTTCACTTCTATTACATGATTTGAGCATGTCAATGAATATCTGAACACTAAGAGGATATGGATTTCTACAGCTTTATAATCCACCCTTTACATGGACACATATAGTATATAGATTCTTTTAAATGTGTTATATAGGTATACTATAAAAAAATACTAAAAAAAAAGTCTAATTGAAGGCTTTTCAGCATTTGCAGTAAGCTCTTACCAAACCAGGAAGTGAATGTGTTCTGTGGCACTGTTGAGCTGATCCCATAAGCACTACGTAAACTTGTATGTAGGAGCAACCCACTTGCATAAATTGTTAGTGGGCACACTGTCTCCAAGGAGCTCAGTCATGGAAGGAGTCACCAGTTCCTCACTTGCACAAGTAATCAACATATGAAACCGTAATACTTTATTCAGGCATTTTGCCAGTAGGTGCAAAAAAAAAAAAACAACAACAAAAAAAAATATAAAGAATTACAATAATTCAGCCTGGGTCAAGTAATGTTTCTTGGAGATGTTGTTTTAGCAGCTGATCTAGAATGCCCAGGCACTTCACACATGCCAAAAACTCTTTAGGTTGAGATTGAGGGCCAGAATGGATGGGTTT